TGGTGCAGGTACATCCAGTCCGTGGCCCCAAAGTTCCTCAGATCACCTGGGGAGAGTCCACCTGCCAGTCTTGGGTTATGCGTCACGGGCGTAAGAGGATTTGGCGATGACGTGAGTTGTAGAGAGAACCGGATACCACACCAGACCTTTAAAGTCGCATCCACCAGGGGGTTGCCCGTTCGTAGTTCCTGGAACGTGGCATCTCCCAGCCACAACTGGGACGGAATTTTGCCTCCTCCTGCCTGTGTCTTTTCCATGTCTACCCACCGCTTCCCGCTCGGAGCAGCGTGCCAGTCCACTAGACGAGCCAAGTGTGTAGCCCGGTAGTAAGTAAGGACCGAAGGCAAGCCCATGCCTCCCTCGCTTCTAGGACGCTCCAGGATCGACTGCCGGATGCGGGCAGCTCTCCGGTTCCATACGAACTGCTTAAAGGCGGATGACAACGTTTGGAAGAAGTTCCTTGGTATAATGACTGGGATCGTCTGGAACAAGTACAATATACGGGGCATGACATTCATTTTAATGGCATTTATGCGTCCGAACCAGGATATATATTGGGGGGCCCAGCGCTTCACGTCTTGTTGTAGAGTTGTGAGTAGGGGGACAAAATTCATGGAATATGCTTGAGTTAGATCACACGGTATCCAGATGCCCAGGTACCGTAATTTGTGCAAGCAAATCCGGAAGGGGAAATGCGCCTGGATGTGTCTACGAAGTGCCGGGTCTCGTGTGAGTGGCATCAGTTCCGACTTGGCCAGGTTGAGCTTCAAGTTAGAAACTAAGCCATAGAGTCGGAAAGCTTCTATTAAGTTCGGTAGCGAGATTCTGGGCTGTTCGAGGAGGAAGAGCATGTCGTCAGCGTATGCCGCCACTCGATGCTCCTCCCCCCCTACCAGGCACCCCGCTATGCCCCCATCCCGCCTCACCGCCTCCAGGAAGGGCTCCAGAGTGAGGGCAAACAGGAGGGGGGACAGCGGGCAGCCCTGACGCGTGCCATTGGAAATCCGGAACACACCCGTTAATGCTCCGTTCACCCGTATACGCGCCGTTGGTTCCGTGTACAGCGCCGCTACCCATGCCCTGAGACCCGGCCCAAACCCCATGCTTCCCAGGGTCTCCTGCAGATAGGTCCAGTCAACTCTATCAAACGCCTTCTCGGCGTCAGTAGAAAGGAGTACCATCTCCCTCCCACCGGATCGAGCCACGTGGACTGCGTTAAGGGCCCTGATGGTATTGTCCCGGGCCTCACGGCCGGGTATGAAACCGACCTGGTCCGGGTGCACAATCTCCGGCAGGATCCTAGCCATCCGTAGTGCCAGCGCTTTGGCAAACACTTTAAGGTCCGCATTGAGCAAGGAAATTGGTCTGTAGCTGGCACAGTCCATGGGGTCTTTGCCCTCCTTCGGGAGGATCGTAACCGTTGCCCTCAATGTGTCTTCATGAAAGCGGCCTTCCTCCCGTAGGGAGTTGAGCCCTGCGACCAGTCGGGGTAGGAGGATATCCCTGAACGTCCGTAAATAAGAAGCTGGTAAGCCGTCCGGCCCTGGTGCCCTGTGAGTCTTGGTGGCCTTCAGCGCCGCCGCTAGTTCCTCCACCGACAAAGGGACCTCCAGTTCCGCCTCCTGCTCCGGAGTGAGTCTGCGTGTAACATGGGTTTGTAAGTACTCTACTATCCTCTCCTTATGTTGCCGTACCTCTGATGCTGTGCGGTGTTTCGTTTGGTCGTAAAGAGCCGCATAATACTCCTGGAATGCCGACAGTATGCCATTTGGGAGGCGTGTAGTATCCCCATTCCCCGTGCGTATTTTATGGACATGGAGCATCCTGCGTTTTTCCTGGAGCATCCGGGCTAACAATCTCCCGCACTTATTGGAGTGTTCGTAGAAGAACCTAGAGGCCTTCCTAGCGGTGAGCAAGAACCCCTGCGACAGAATCTTTTGCAAGTCCCTACGTGCCTCCACCAGTTGGAGGTAGGTGTCCTCAGCTAGGGTTTGCTTATGAGTTCCTTCTAAGTCAGCGATACGCTTGGTCAAGCTGGAAATGCGAGCTCGTCTGTCTTTTTTGCGTTTGGTGCTCTCGGAGATGAAGAAGCCACGGATGACGCATTTGTGCGCCTCCCAGAGCCTTAGAGGAGTCGTATCCGCGGTATCGTTGGTGGTGAAGTACTCTGACAGGGCACGAGTCGCGGACTGTGTGAGAGCCAAATCATCCAGCATAGTTTCGTTGAGCTTCCATTGTCGTTCGCTGGGCTTAAAGAGCGGGGAATTCGTATGAACCAGGACCGGTGCATGATCCGAGTGACCTATAATGCCTATTTCCGCTCCCTGCAGGAGGTTCAGAAATTCTTGTGCAAGGAAGATGTAGTCGATACGGCTGTATTGTGCATGCACCGCAGAATAGTGGGTGTAGTCTCTCCCCTCCGGGTTGCAGGCCCTCCAACAATCTACCAAGCCGGCTTTGTGCAAGGCACGCTGGGACAGCCGGATACTTGCCGCCGGGACCGCGGTCATGCCCCTGGAAGTATCCATCCGGGGTTCCAACGGGATATTAAGGTCGCCGCCAAGGACCAGGAGTCCCTCCCGGAATCTCTCTAGTTTGGCAAGTGTTCGGGATATGAAGGTGTGCTGGCCCCTATTTGGGCAGTATATGCATGCGAAGGTATAGACATGATCCGCTATGGAGCCCTTTAAGAATAGGTATCTCCCCATCGGGTCCAATTGGGACGCTAAGTGAAGGAAAGGCGTCGTCTGGGCGAAGAGAATAGCCACCCCCGCTTTTTTGTCTGTTTGGTGATTGGCGTAAAACCCCAACGGGAATCGACGATTCTCCAGTTTAGGTGCATCTCCCCCCTTAAAATGTGTCTCTTGCAGGAACGCCACGGATGCTCTTGCGGCCCACAGCTGCCGCTGCAATTGTGATCTTTTTTCCGGAATGTTAAGCCCATGAACGTTATTAGACCAGTAGGTCAGCCGCGCCGGAACGAAGCCCCGACCGGGTGCCATCGCTACAACGGCGGAGCGCCCCCACCCCGGCACAGCTGGGAGCGTAGGTAAGGAAAGGTGTGGGAGGTCCAGTACTGATAACAGTAGGTCTTAGTCTCACCGCCCTCCGTGGGCAACGTCGACCCGGAGCCGGGAAAGTAGAATCCTCACCCGGGTGAAGATGTCCGTGTGAGGAACCCCGGCTCTATTTACAGTGCGGGTCTGTCACAGTAGGGATCAAAAGGGCCCCTCACTGTCCTGGCGTTTCCGTGGAATGTAGTGGTCGTAACTGCCGCAGTGTCCGTCGGCCGTCACCCTGTGTGTCTAACGTGCGAGAATCCAGAGGCTAAAACACTAATAACTGAAAGAAAACATGTGAACTGCCCCATCTAACAGCCCCCCTGGGGGTGCGGCTTGCGTGTGCCCTCAACCCGCCCCCAGCCTGTGCCCCCCGCTTGCCACCGACCTGTCTTGGGTCCCCGCCCCTCCCCCCCTTGACCGTAATAGATTGAGCTAGGAGTGCTCCCCTCTCTAGCCCCCAGCCCCAAGAAAGAAAACCGTAAAGCACCCCAATACCTCCCTACCTCGCAATCGCCCATCAGCCCAACCGGTGCCTAGGTACCCGCATAGTGGTAAGATGCCCATCCCATGCCTAAGACTTTCCCGCGGGTGAGTCGGGGTCCTCCTTCGTATGTGACTGAGCCTCCATCCACCTCCTAGTGCCCGATCTAGGGTCTGCCCGGGTGCGGATCTTTCCCTCCCCCCTCCTGCGAGGACTACTGGAGGCCGTCCCCTCCCTCTTGCCCCCTCCGAAACCCAAGCAGCCACCCCCACCTAGTAGCAGCCTGCCCCTCACCCGCTCCCGTACCCCCCGTCACCCCAAACACCAAATACCCCCACCTCTGCGTGGGCCGCCACCTGGGATGACCCCAGCGTATAAGGAACAATGTAGTAGGCATGCAATATGAGAGAGGAGGAGGGGAGAGAGAGATAAAAAGATAAAAAAAAAAAAGGGGGGGGGGGAAGAGTACCAATTTGTCCCCCAAAAGCCATCGTCCCCAGCCAGACCCCAACAGCTCCACAGCCCAGTCCAGCACTTGCCCCCCTGCCCTCCCCACCTGCGGTGGAACCCACCCGAAATCTGCCCGCTACTGCCTCCACACCCCTTTAACCCTTGCCACCCAACCTAACTACCAGCCCTCCCCCAGGCAGCAAACTTCTCTAGAGCGTAGTCCACCACAGTACATACCCTGGGCTGGGGTGCCCCCCACTTCACAGCCGGGCAGCCGAGAGTCCCTTGACTTAGGGGCTGAGGTCCGATGGGAGCCCTGCCTGAACCGATAGCCCCCGGGGGACCACCACCTGGCGTAGCAGGTAACCGCTACTCTTCTGGGCCATTCGGCCCTCCTCTGCGTCGCGGCATCTCAGGATCCGGATGAAGGTTGTGTGCAGCCTCGTTGGGGCCCGATGCCCTAGCCGGGGGCTCCCCCAAAATCCAATTCGGGACAGAGATATGGGGAAGGCCCGCATTTCTGAGGAACCGGGGGACATCGTTGGGCCACTGAAGCACATGCCACATATTGCCCACCCGGGCCTGCAGGCTAAAGGGGAAACCCCACTTATACGGGATTCTTCTTTCCTGAAGCAGGCGGGTAAGCGGCCGCAGGGCCCGCCGGGTGTCTAGAGTTGTCTGCGACAGGTCGTGATACAAGGCCACCGGGGCATCCATGTATCGAAGATCAGGACGGGAGCGCGCGGCCTTCATCAATCCTTCTTTGAGCGGGAAGGACGTCAGGGCGCAGATCATGTCCCTCGGCATCCCATCACGTCGGGGCGCTCGCAGTGCCCTATGCGCCCGCTCAATGCCAAAGTCGTCTGGCGCTGTCTCCCCCAACAATTGCGAAAACAGGCCGGTGAGTAGCTCATGTGGATGCTCCCCTTCTGCCTCCGGCAGCCCCCGGATCCTAATATTGTTCCGCCGGCCCCTATTGTCGAGATCTTCGACCTGCCTGCGGAGGGCTAGGAGCAGGTTCCCCTGCCTGGTGGTCGCAAGGTCCGCGGCCTGTTGCCTGTGGGTGGTCTGAAGATGCTCAGCATCCAGGCGTCCACTCGGTGTTCCAGGGCGGTGAGATCCGCACGCACTGCAGCGATCTCCTCTCTGATCACCGCCCGCAGCTCAGCCACCATTTCAGACTTGTCCCGCCTGGTGAGCATGCTGGACGAGATAGCAGCAATGTCTTGCGATATTTGGGAGAGGGCCGCTGGCTCATTAGTGCCGCGAGATGATCCGGCCATGCTAGAGCTGGGTGAGGCGGGAATCGGCAGATCAATGGCGTCCGACAGACCCGGCGGCCCTGCAAGGTAGTCATCCATCGGGCCGGTCTGGGACCGCAGCAGAGCCCCCCCAGGCTGTCCAGCACTGAGTGCACGCTTAGTTTTCCCCATTCTAGCAGGGTTTATACAGGTCTGGATGCTGTAGATTACGGGCTATACAGGGTGAGGCCTAGGAGCACAGGCACCGTGCGTCTCACTCCATCCTAGGTCAGGCCACGCCCCCCGATAACCATGTTCTTCTCAAGGAATTCTTGAATATTATCCCTTAATAAACTTTCAAATATTTTACCAGCCACAGAAGTTAAGCTCACAGGTCTATAATTTCCAGGCAAGGATTTTGAACCCTTTTTGAATATAGGAACCACATCTGCCTTCCTCCAATCCTCCGGAACACTTCCTGAAAGAAAAGAATCTTGAAAGATTAAAAACAGAGGTTCACTTATTTCTGCACTTAGTTCCTTAAGTACACGTGGATGGATACCGTCAGGCCCTGGAGCTTTGTTTATATTAACTTTCTTTAGTTGCTGCAGCACCTTGTCTTGAGTTAACCAATTACAATTATTCTGCAAGTTTTTAGTAGCAATCATTTGCACATCTATTGCCATGGGTTCTTCCTTAATATATACGGAGGAGAAAAAGTTATTTAAAATTCCTGCCTTTTCCTGGTCTTCATTAACTAACACCCCCGTTTCAGTTTTTAGTGTACCTACACTTTCATTTTGTTTTTTTTTAGAATTTATGTACTTAAAAAATGCTTTGGGGTTGGTTTTGCTCTCTTCAGCTATCATTATTTCATTTTGAAGTTTAGCAAGTCTAATTGCCTTTTTGCACGCATTATTTGCATCCTTATATCTTTTATAAGATGCATCTGATTTGTCCGATTTAAATGCTTTAAATGCCCTTCTCTTAGTTGTAATCTCTTGTTTTACTTCTCTACTAAGCCATGTTGGTTTTAATTTGTTTCTTTTATATTTATTTCCCAATGGTACATACTGAGAAATGTACCTTTGTAATATTTGTTGGAAGATGATCCATTTATCCTCAGTGTTCTTTTCACTAAAGAGTTTATGCCAGTCAATATATTGTAAAGCTTCCCTTAACTTATTGAAATTGGCCTTTTTAAAATTATATGTTTTAGTATTCCCCATGTGCTTTTGTTTTTTTGAGTTTATTTCAAAGGACACTATATTGTGATCACTATTTCCCAAGTGCTCACCTACTTGAATGTTGGTCAAAAGATCAACGTTGTTTGTTAAAACCAGGTCCAGACAAGCATCCATTCTAGTTGGTGCTTGTACAAGTTGTGACATGAAGGTGTCATTTAACAAGTTTAAAAACCTAATTCCCTTTGCTGAGGCACTAGTCCCTCTGTCCCAATTTATATCCGGGTAATTAAAATCTCCAATAATTAAAGTGTTACCCAGATTTGCAGCTTTCTCAATTTGCTCAAACAGCTGTTGTTCCTCGTCAATATTAACATTAGGTGGTTTATAACATATCCCAACCAATAGTTGGTTTCCCTTCTTTTCCCCCAAGCAGATATTTACCCATAAAGCTTCCACATTATCCTCCTCGCATTCCATTTGCTTAACATTTGGCTTTAAATCATGTTTGACATACAAACATACCCCACCACCCTTCTTGTTTTTCCTATCCTTCCTAAATAACATGTACCCATTTAAGTTAGCTGCCCAGTCATGTGTCTCATCCCACCATGTTTCAGTTATGCCTATTATATCATATTGTTTAGTGTATGCTAATGCCTCTAATTACCTGAAATGAAATGTCGATGGGTATGCCATGTAGCCTGAAAACCTCTTTAGCATAGATCTCTGCTAACTGTATAGCAGTGGGAAGCTTCTTGAGTAGAACAAAGTGAGCCATTTTGGAGAATCTGTCAGTCACCATCAAAATGACCGTATGACCTCCAGAAGGTGGAAAGTCCACTGTAAAATCAATGGACAGGTGTGTCCAAGGCGTTTTGGGTATTGAAAGGGGCTTAAGAAGACCTGGTGGCTTGCCCATGGAGGATTTAGATTGCGTACAGATTTGACATCCTTCCTAATAGAAGGCCACCAGAACCGGCTTATTGTGCTGTTATATGTTTTGCTAATGCTCGGATGTCCCGCTGTCTTCGTTCTATGAAACAAAGTCATGACTTCTCCTATCTCTAGCTTGTACAAATAATAACCCTGATGGTGTTTCAGGCAGAGCTTGGTTTTGATATGCCTTTACCTTATCAAGAAAGAGGGAGGAGATGACCAAGTGTGTAGTAGCCACAGGAACTATGGGTTCGGGCGGAGCAGGGTCGCTTTCCAGTGGTTCATGTTGCCTGGATAAGGCATCTGCCTTAGTGTTGCGGTACCCAGGTCTGTAGATTATGATATATACTGGAAGTGAGATAGGAATAACGACCACCGGGCCTGGCGAGAAGACAGATGTCGGCCCTCAGCTATGTAAGAGAGGTTCTTGTGATCACCAGTATAGGGTGCCTGGAACCTTCAAGTAGGTGTCTCCACTCTTTAAATGCTAGGACAATGGCCAACAGTTCTCGGTTTCCCACATTCTTTCTGCATTGGACAGTTTCTTAGAGAAAAAGCAACATGGGTGAAGAGGGTCGTTGTGTGTCTTTCTTTGGGACAGTATTGCACCAACACCTGACTCGGAAGCATCGACCTCTACTATAAAAGGCAGCAACGGGACAGGGTGGTGCAAAACAGGAGCAGACGTAAACGCCTTTTTAAGCGTATTGAAAGCTTCAAGAGCCTCTGAATTCCAAACACTGGGATTAACCCCCTTCTTGGTCATCTTAGTTATTGGGGCCACAACGGAAGATAAATTCTTTATGAACTTTCTATAGTACACCTTTGTATGGCCTTTAGTCCTTGCGGAAGGGGCCAGGACTTAATGGCCTTTAGCTTAGCGGGATCCATGATGTATCCCAAGAACTGCAGATGTCTCATCAAAGAGGCACTTCTCAAGTTTGCAAAAAAGCATTATCTAGCAGTTTCCTAAGTACTGATCTGACGACATGCTCGTGGTGGGTTTCTAGATCAGGAGAGTATACTAAAATGTCATCCAGGTATACGACTGCACATACGTGCAGGAGGTTCCAAAGGATATCGTTGATGAAATCTTGGAATACAGCATGGACGTTACATAGGCTGAAGGGCATTACTAGGTACTCATAGTGGCCACTACGTGTATTAAAAGCGGTTTTCCACTCGTCCTGCTTCCTTATTCGCACCAAATTATAAGATCTAGTTTGGTGAACCATTTAGAACCCTTTAAAAGGTCAAAGAGTTCCGTAATAAGTGGAATGGGGTACACATTGTGTATCGTGATCTTAAGACCCCTATAGTCAATGCAGGGTCTAAGATCACCCTCTTTCTTTGCTACGAAGAAGAAGCCTGCACCTGCCAGAGATGAGGATCTCCTGATAAACCCTTTCTTCAGAGACTCCTCAATATACTCCTTCATGTTAAGAGTGGGGATATACCCGGCCTTTAGGTGGCATAGTCCCTGGCAATAGATCAATCACACAATCATAAGGGCGATGGGGAGGAAGTTTCTCAGCTTCTCTTTTCTCAAAGACCTGGGCTAGGTCTGCATATTGTGGAAGCACCTAGGTGGAGAGAGGAGGAGCCGAGAGCAGGTTAAGAGTGCAAACCGGGTGTACCGGCATAAGACAATGGGTAAGACAGTTATGACCCCAGGACAGAATGTCCAGATTAACCCAGTCTATTTTAGGGTTATGCTTAATTAACCAAGGATACCCAAGGACAATCGGACACGAAGGGGAACACAATACGTGAAAAATATTGTCATGGTATAATGTCCCTATGGTGAGCTGTAACTCCTGGGTCTCATGGGTTACTTTGGGCTTCATTAATGGTCTACCATCAAGTGCTTCTACAGTTCTAGATGAGGTCTTGCGAACCAAGGTCAAAGTGCAGGACTCGGCGAAAGACTGGTCTATAAAATTGCCGTCCGCTCCTGAGTCGAGTAAGGCCTTGGTGTAAAAGGTCTCACCATTGATAGAAAGTGAAACCGTAAAAAGCGGCCTGGTAGATTTTTCACCCAAGACCAACCCCTTGTTAGGTCCTAGGTGCTGGCGTTTCCCTGCAGGTCAGGACACAGCTCTTACATGCCCCGTCTTCCCGCAATAGAGGCACAAACCTTCCTTCCTTCTATGTTGTCTTTCCTCCTCGGGCAACTTGGTAGAACCCAACTGCATAGGTTCTGGCGGTGAACCAGAGGAGGGTAAGGCAAGCAAAGTGGTAGAGGGTAGGGGAGGTAAGGGGTGTACAAACATCCTAGTAAAGGATTCCCGTTTAGAACATCTCTCTCTAATCCGATTATCAATGACTATACAATAGTCAATGAGATCATCCAGTAGTGTACAGATTTTTTCAGAAGCCCTCCAGGACGTTTGGACTACACTTTTTCAATCCATACTCTCATTTCATTTTCGTTCAACCATCCTTTCTCATGAACATGTACAACTTCTCTTGGAATCACTTCTTTTGGAAATGTTTTCCTTTTGAAAATTAACATAGGTGGCAATTTGGTGCCGTCTGCACAGCAAGACAACACAACCGTGTAATGGGTTTTCTCATGTCTGGAGGTTTTCACGGTGATAGTTTTGGCACCTTTCAGATCAACAGCCCTATTAGATGGCACATCAAAGCTTAGCGGGACTTCATCCATATTCCCAATCTGGCCAATTTCGAACCCATTTTTCTTCCTAGTATCAATTACAAATTTATGAAAAGACAGAATCTTAGATTCATATTCTTTTGGCATTTTTTGCTCAATTCTAGTTTTGGTGCGCATCGCAAGGCCACATCGCCTCATAAATCACTAGCACCATGATGGTGATCCTGAAAAATCGTGAATGCCTTTCTCTACAGCAATGCGTTTGGCTTCATATATTATCATTTTTTTATAGACTGAGAAGCCATTATTCTGGTGATTTGTGATCCATTCTTCCATGGCCACATCTAACTGTGGTCACTTTGCAGCATTTCCACGAAAAG